TTTATACAAATTATTTATAATACAAAAATGTACATGTACACAAAGTAAAATGACGGGTCTCTGAATGATTTTCATTTTCTAATTCTAGGAGGGTGGACTGACCCTAGGGGGTCCTGAATAAAATGTCAAACATATTATCACTAACACACTTTTGACGCAGGTCATATTGTGATCATTTCCAGTTTCAGGATGAGGATGACTTCAAGGGTTCATAACCTTTATACCATTTAATGAATAATGACTCGAGGGACAATATTATATATGGTTAAGGGGAGAGTTTTCAACCATTTTCAAGATACAATGTATATGATCACTTGAAGTTTTAGGGTTAGTGTGTTATAATACAAAGATGACTTAGGGGCTTTTGCTCTAATGACAGCTATTTTATTGCTTCCGGTTCCAAAGATCGAGTGGAATGACCCCAAGGACTTGCCTCATTGTATAATTTGTATAATTGTGGCATTCCAATGATTTTTGACCCTTTTCCACCTATAGGCCCCTAACCATTTTCATTTCCGATAATTTTACCCCGTTCTAGTCGCCCGTGTGGCGCAGTGGTTAGAACGTCTGCTCTAGAGTCGTGGAGTAAGGAGTTGATCCTTAAGTCGCGGGTTCGAATCCACATGCGGGACGTGGAGACCGGTCCTTCGGATGAGACTGTATAAACCGAGGTCCTTAGTTGTTGGCACAAAAAAGATCCCTCAATCCTCAATGGCCCTAAGTGTCGACCATAGGTGATGGCGTCTCCATATGAGCGAAAAATTCTCGAGAAGGACGTTAAACAACAAACAAACCCCGTTCTATACTAAATGCTTAAAATAATATATTCATAATGTACTTACCGCCTGTTATAGGTACTGTTAACTTGATAGAATAATAAATCCATTTAAAACACACACTAAATATTAATAATCCCAGTGGTAATAATGATGTACATACACCATACGTGCAAAACCATATAATGATAACGGTAAAAGTAGTGCTCGCAGTGCCACGCACGAGTCTAGAAATTTTCCAAAAAGGTGTAAATTTGTAAAATTTATATTATAATTACACACATTTTTTTCCCATAAGTTTGTGTTAAATCTATTCTAAATATGACAGGAAAACGGGTGAATCGTGGGTGGGGGTTGATTTTTTGACAAAGTTGGTTGGGTCAAGATTTGGAAAGGGGTTCTCCGAGTCCTACCCAAATACTGATAAAAATTTGCACAAGTTGTCATTCTGGCATCTATTTTTTTTAAGTTCATCAAAAAAGCTATGCACTAAAATAATAATATTTGTTGTTTTGACAATAAATTCAATGAGTTCCAATTATAGGTAGAAAATTAACCAACCCCCTTTTTTACACAAATCTTTCAAAAATTCTCTCTTTATCAGAATTTACATTATTAGGTAATATCAGACTGGTAATGAAATATTTACATGCGCGGATCTAGAGGGGGGGGGGGTGGTCCGGAACCTATATACGAAAGCAACTAAAAGTGACCTTGGAACCCCCCCCCCCCCTAGAAAACACGGACCCCTGTTAAGTTGGTACGAAAAGTTATACATATGAAGCTTAAAAAATGAGCAGCCAAACCCCTTCTCACCCCCCCCCCCCCCCCACTACGTCACTTGACAAGCAAAAAAAATTTTTTTTTTTCAAAACTCAAAATACTCAAATATCTTATTTCGTGGGGTGGGGTAGGGGTGGGATCCAACTTCTTTCAGTACCCCAGTTTTATATGTACACTACTACATTACCTTTATTTGACTATAATGCAACAAAAAGTGGGGGGGGGGGGGGAAACAACCCTTTCAAGAACATTTTCAATAGTAAAAAGTTATGTTTCGAAAAAAGTGGGGGGGGGCAGGCCCCCTCTGCCCCCCCCCCCCCCCCGATACTACGTGCCTGCATTTAGAGGCAAACACATTAGTGCGGGTATTACTGTCTTATGACAGCATCTTTTTTTTTTTTTGGAGGTGTGGACCCCCCCCCCCCCCCGGAAAAATTCCTGGATCTGTGCATGTAACTGAATGTAATGTCAACAACGGGAGATAACTCTTCAGAATGTGAAATTCGTCTATTGTGGCATCCGATGATCTTTGATCCTTTCTAAACTTTAACCTAACCATTTTCATTTCGGTTTATTTTACCCCAATCTATACTTAAACTTGTACTTACCGACTATCATAGGTCCTGTCAACTTCATGAAATATAATCCAATTAAAACACAAAATGAATTAATTCCTACTGATATACATGTAATGATGTGCACCATCTAAAAATAATGGTAAAACTAGTACAAGTACTAGTAGGGTGATGCAAGCCCAATGTGATGTAGAAATTTTCAAAAAAGTGCTCACATACATGTACAGTACAAGAACAAATTTTAAATTATCATAACAAACGATGTTTTAACATAACTTTGCCATCTAGGCCTATTTCCAAAAACAGACAAATTGTGTGTGTATGTTGGGGGGGGGGCGGGGAGGGGGCTGACAAAATTGATTGGGTGTGGCTTTTCAAGAAGGTTTTTGCCTAATTAATAGCGATTCTCTGTAACCACTTAAACTTCTTTGCCACGCATGGTCACCGATTTTGATGAAACTTTGCCCATTATTACAACTTGACACCAGAAACATATATTAAATAAAATTCCGTTGCTATGTGTCTTGGTTGCCATGGTAACAGCCATAAAAGTTGAAAAAATTGAGATTTTCAGCTACTTTGAATCTCTATTACGCCTTAATAAAGACTAAGAAAAACAAACAAACCATTCTCCCAAAAACATAACACCTTGTTGCCACTTATGCTATAAAGAAACTATTTAGAATTTATCTCTTAGTAAGTGGTAACCATGGGTACATTTGGAATACATTTTAGATGCTGAAAAATGCTCAATATTCACCAATGATAGATGTTACATGATCAAACTCAATCAACAACCTAAGAAAAACAATAAAAAATATTTGACCTTATGTAATTAGGTATTGGCAATATTATTCTAAATATAACTTTCATGGTTGCCATGGTAACACAGCGTAACCATGCAAAATCTGTTGCTATGATTGGGTTAATGCTACTATCTTGAGGAAAAACAATAAAATTCATGACTAACACTTATGCATCCTTGGAACCTTGCAACACCGACAACATAAGAAAAATTGGGATTAAATGTTACTTTGCATTGTAACCATGGAAACAACGTATCAGTCGTTTAAAGTGATATTTTGTGCTCCTTTAGGAATTTACTTACCTTTTAATCAAGAAACATATTATTTGACTCACCTTGAATACTACTTATCTGGTTGAACTAAAGTTGAATATCATATATTGATAAAGTTTGTTGAAAAATACAACACTGTTGCTATGGTTACCAAGAAGGGAAAATGTTCAATTTTGTTAATTTTATATCAATATTAAACCCTATGTGCCAGCTTTTTGCATCCAGTTAGAGATTGGGTGGTAGTCAAAATTCAAAGTCAGGTTAGTTGTTCATATATATCAATCATAAAAGTTTTGGGAATGTACTTACAAGGGTGCGTATCCAAGGAAACGGAGTATTTTTCAGATTTTTATGCATATTTTTTCGGCTAATTTCCATAGCAACGCTCTATTTAAAGAATTGGGTTTGAATTTTTTGAAATTCGAAAATTAGGGTCACACCAATGCCTTTAAAAATTGATCATCAGTTATATAGAAATATGCTTTTTAAAAAGATAGGATAAGATTAAAACACTAAGAGAGTAAATTTAAAATCCTTTCGAGGTAAATAAACCATAGCAACCGTTGCCAACCTATAAGAAATATCATATTTCGTCCTTGGTATATGTTACAAGGATCTCGTGTCTATTGTTTGCTTGCATTTCAACCTATAATTGTTTTTATTCTTAAGTATATGACTTTATAAAATTAAATGAACAAAATTATTACTTTTGAATACTTTGTTTCCATAGTAACATATGTAATAGTTGATTTACCAAACATATTTATCATGCATTTAAGACATCAGGCCTTCAACTTTCAGAAACAGTCATTGCCACTTGTTTGCTTTGCTGCAAACGTTAACTGGGGGACTCTGAACATGTTGAAAAATGCCATTTTTCAAACGTTAGGACATGTTGCTATGGTAACCATGACACGTAGCAACCAATTTTTGCCTGATTTGAGTTTACGGTATCAAAGACTTTTATCATAGAGAGTTTGGAGAAATTCTGAGACTATGCGTGCCGCAGCTTCTATATAAAAGTTCAAGTCCTTACAGAGAATGGCTCTTAAATACTAAAAAAAAAGTCTGCACATTTTGATAAATTCATTAAAAACGCTTTATACTAAAGTTGTATAATTTGTTGTTGAGAAAATAAATTTAAAAAGTTCATTTATGGGCCAAAAATTTATATCGCCCCTTTTATCAAAACCTATTTTACATCATTAATTAAATTCTGTTATTTCAGACTGGTAATGAATTAAGTAAAGGAAATACATGTACCTATAAGAGGCTCATAGGTCACATGGTCACCTGGGCATTTTATGCTCGATTTGACGAAACATGTACTGTGTAAAGTAAAAAAACCTTAGTGCGGGTATTACTGTCTCATGACAGCATCTAGTTTAAATATTTTTTCTCCATTTTTAAGCTTAAATATTGGAAGCATTTTTAAAAAAAAATTAACGGAATTAAAAATAATTATACCATGTACAAATATGGATGACCTTTTTTGAATGGTTTGGTTGAAACTTATTTTTTCAGAAAGTTAAATTTCAGAAAAGTATTAGATATAGTTTAGTTTTACTAACAGATCCTCTTCTGGGAATATATCACATAAGCCATTAGATGTTTTCTTTAGATAGAAATACAGAACTCAAAATTGTATATAAAATCATGGTATAAATAGCATTACGACATGCCAAAAATAGTTGCACGAAAATAGTCTTCCGTCTTCTGTATCGTCTCTATTATATTTGGCAATAAAATGACCTGATGAATTTTTAATATAATTTTTATTTGCCATACCTTTAAACGCCCAGAAGAGTCTATGGCAGTTGAATAACTCATACATCCGCCATAAATTCCAAGAACATCTTGAACTCCAACACTAAGTAGAAGAATGAATAGGACTGATGTCATTTTGAGATTGCCATTAACTGTCACATATATCTGTAACAAAATAACAGAATTTAACGAAATCGCTGAATAAAAAAATAATGATTATAAAAGTGAACCATGAAATAATAGCCATTAAAAATCAAGTGAATTTGATAGATTACAAGATCACTATGTACTGATCCTATCTGAAAAAAAAAGTACCGAAATTTTCTTTTGTTTTGTAAGACTCATTTTTACAAATGGCTTTTAGGGGAACTCTACAAGTGGTTATCCAACTTATACCCATAGTTCCTTTTCTAAGGAGGAAACTCTTCAAAATTATACATCGGCTTTGAAAAACATTTTCAATATTCACAAAAAAAAAAATTGAATTGTGAATTGCCAAAGCTATATTGGAATTCTAAATAATTTAAAAATCCTTACAAAAAAGATACATAGCAGGATCTAGAAAATGATTTACCAAGCCTATTTACTCTCCTAAAAATAATAGCAGTGAAGGAGAATTTCAGGAGTAGTGTACACAACATATTTCAGAATGGTAGATGTGGATACTTAATACATAAGGAATCATTAAAAAATTGAAATCCAATTTTTGTTTTCTAAAATTGAAAGCATTAAAACGTACGACTTTTCAACACTTTACACAAAGCTCCCTACGTTGAAGACCAGGTTCTTTGACATCAGAGACAAGTGCTTTTTCAATTTAAAATGGAACTCGTATATTAACATACGTTGTCATTGGTTATCTGCAAACGTTTTGTTAAAAGATATTCTGATTCTTCACACAAGTACTGCGCAGTTGATATTTAAAAAGGTGCTAGAGTTTCTGATTGACAATATCTTTGTAGTTTTTAAGACCAGGTCTTCCACGATCTTTTGGAATTACAATGGGTTAAATGCCTTGCCCCGTTATTAGCAAACCGTTATCGATACAAATGTTATTCAAAAACTTCTACATGGGTCTTTCTTTTTATTCTGACGTTGACACAATATATATTTTTGAACTCGAAATAAGGCACCAAATAGTCCAATACATCTCTTTTACATTTGGCTTTTCTACTAAATAAAGACATTGATAACAAACGAACAACTAAACTTTATGATAAATGTAATGATTTCAACTTTTTTCTATTATTAAGTAGCTTGTTATTTCCCTTATTTAAGTAGCAATATACCATTATCACCTGCATATAGAGTCTTTGTCTCCCCCAATTGATTCGGTATGCAAGTGGATGTTCTACGAAGGGACAATTTCTAAAATGAGACAAGTTAGTGGCAGATAAGTAGACAATACAGGAAATAAGCACGTTCATTTGAAGTTACATTTTGCAAATTCTATGGTCGATACAATGATTTTGTTGGCAAATGCAGTACATTGTTAAGTCGAATGTTGACTTAATTTTTAAAATTCCAATTTTAAGGTTATTCATACTGAATTGTCTACAGACATTGTCTACTTTCATCTGATCATGACAAGGAGCACAAGGCAGGTCGACAGGGAATGCTTACTCCTCCATAGCTCCTGATCCCACCTCTGGTGCTTTTAAAGGTCCATGTTTGTTTTACTCAGAATTTGTATTAATTCAATGGACTTTTGAGCTTGATTACTGTCTGTTATCTTCTTATTTCATTGCAGTGATTCCTTTTTCTTACCATGTATCACTTGTTTTGTTGTTTCGTATTCAAGAGAACAATATGGGTGTGTTCCAAATGAAACTCTCCTTTATATTACTTACAAATATAATACACTTTGATAAATTCTTATTCATGCTGCTTTTAAGAGAAATATTTTGTGAAATTATAATTCTAAGGAAAAATTTAGAAATAATGATGAATAAAACATTCTTTCAGTAGAAGAAAAAGTTTCAAATTTGAAATCATATCATTCTCTTTCATAACTTTCTATTTTAAGGCCAGTAACTTAAAGATCTGCGTATAGATTTTACTTGAAAATCAAAATCATATGTTCTTTATCGAATGATTTAAATGAACTCTCCATTTCATTTGAAGAAAGAAAAACATTTGATAACTTCTTTCTATTAAGTGATTAAACCTTACAAGTACTTACCAAAGAGGAGACTCTGGAAAATTTTGGTACGGCTTTTTAAATATGACGAAACTTTGTTAGATCGATTTATTCTATTAAATGAAACGATTATTTAAATTTACCAAAAATCTTGTTTAAATCCTAAGAAATCTTCTTAAGATAGAGATATCGACTGAAATCAATTTATTATTTTAAGGAAGGTCAAATCTGTTATATAAATCCTGACAACAAATAACTGATAAAAGTATCATGTAGTCTAAGTGATAGGCAGTGGGTGACATTGAATGCGATCCTTTGTCGTAGACGGTATAAATTTTTGTAGTAGATCCATTTATATTTTGTAACAAACCATCTACATTACAAAGAAAGTGGCAACTACACTTATGTATGTTATTCAGTAGCCTTTTTAGTAAATCTTCGCCGTCTCATTCTTCATTTCTGCAATAGTTTGAATTAAAGACAAATAAAAAAAAATTACGAAATAGAAAATAATGCCAATTAAAATGTCTAAGTATGCTAAAACGTCTTTAATTAGCCTTTCATTGCATTTTTATCGAGTCGATCCAAACGTTATATCACTTTAATATTTACCCACCGAATTGTGATACATGAAATTGAGTTAGTTGGGTTATTGTCACAGATACAGTTTAAAGGTTTGAATAAATAAATTAGCTAACTTTCATGAAGAAGGTATATTTAACTCTTAAATCAGTGATATGAGTTTTATTTCATTTGAAAACGAATGAAAGCACGTACAAGACAACTTTGAACAAGTTTGAGAGCAACCTTATCCATGCAAAATAGGGAAATGATGACAAACAATGAAGAATTCAACACGAACATTTTCTTCTCTGAAGATTTGTTAAAACTCACATATTGTCACTTACATGTACGTGCTTCCGATCGCCACCGAACAACAACAATGAACTATGCAACTAGTGTGTGATTGGAATATACATGGGACGCTGTCTACATGCGGTAAGTTGAAAGGTATCGGCTTCGCGCATGAGAGAAAGCAAACGTCGGGTTCGTTCTTGCGGACCCAGATTTGACGCAACGCGAAAGCAGAGCGCACCCAGATTTTTAAGTATCGGACGCCGAACGCAAAGCGAACCCGGGGTTCACTTTTGAGATTGCTCTAGTGTTAGGTTTTGTCTGGTAGGTACTGTATGTTTCCTCTTTTTTTCTAATATATTATATACCAAAATTAATTGACGTTGATTCAGTGATATCAGAAAAGAAGTTGCAAATATTTCGAAACGGCGAACGACGCACATCCGCAAGAAGAACAGCGCAAAACGACGGACAAAATCACATAGCAATAGGTCACTTCACTTTAAATGCACAAGACGTCTTAAATTTGAATTTTCATTTCGGTTAAAAGATCAATGAAAATCACTTTCTAATTGGTAGGTTTTATCAATATAGATGTTTCACATCTTTGTATTTCTAGTGTGTAGAATTTTAATATGACTAGCAAATATTGCATTTTAAAATTATGATCCACAATCGTTTACACATTTATTTAACACATCCGTTTATGGCTGTTGCATTAACAATTATACAGTTAATATCGTTTGGAACGAACAGGGATGTAACAAATTTACGGATATTGTGAAGCTCTGTTGAAATCCTCGGCAAAATTCTGAACAATTCTTTGTAAAGTTTAATGAACACAACGAATTCGGTCATAGCGAATTTACGGATAAACGGACTGATTTTGTGTCCCCTTGTATAACAAATTTTCAAAAGTCTAAACTTTTAACCATTGATATATTTTTTTTTTGGGGGGGGGGGGTATTTATATTTGAAATTCAATTCATCCGAAAATTTTTGGACTCCAAAATAATTTAGTATTTACTATTTGATACGTAATACTAGATTTACAATTTAATAAATTTCCAAAATACATTTGATAGTCATAACTGAAGAAAAAAATATATTGCAAATTCGCTATATATACTTTAACGAATTTGTTATACGGATATAACGAATTACGGATAATGAAAAGTAAATTCACAGGTCCCCAGGACTTCGCTATAACCGAATTTTACTGTATTTGTTAACTATATAACTTCAAATTTCATACCCACTTGAAAAAAATATCGCCTTTTCCTTGTGCCTATATTATTATGTATCGTTAACTTTATTAACCCGTGGAAGAAATTTGCTTCTTAGTCAAAAAGATAATTCTTCACGTAAATATAAACTGCTTATTTTTGTTTCCGAAACATCTTTTTTCATCTCATTGAAATGAAAATCTATATTGTGCACTTATATTTGATATATAGGCAGACCCGCTTGTAACTGGTGTTGTTGACAATTTGTTTTTCCTTACATATATACGAAAGCCGGATAGGCTCATTTTTGACAAGACAAAAAAAAAATATTTAACTCGTTATAACGAGATAATTATCTCGTAATAACGAATTAGTATTTCGTTATAACGAGTTATTATCTCGTTATAACGAGTTAGTTATCTCGTTATAACGAGATAATTATCTCGTTATAACGAGTTAATTATCTCGTTATAACGAGTTAGTTATCTCGTTATAACGAGATAACTAACTCGTTATAACGAGATATTAACTCGTTATAACGAGATACTAACTCGTTATTACGAGATAATTATCTCGTTATTACGAGTTAGTTATCTCGTTATAACGAGTTAGTTATCTCGTTATAACGAGATAATTATCTCGTTATAACGAGATAAAAATTGATCTAGAATTGATATATCTAAGTAAAGAATAGACCATTATTTATAGGAAATATACAGAAGCAAGTCGATCAAATTTGTTTGAAGTGTGCGTGATAAAGATTTTATGGAACAGCATACTAGTTTTTTTGTGTTATGCCTTTGATTAGTATTGTTTATTGGAAAGACCGAAGACAAATATACGGAAACTTGTGACCACCTCATGTTGTTGTGTTATACCTTAAAATTGCAAAATAGAATTAGTGTCATCTTCAA